TAATTTATAAATATTAATGAATATCTCTCATTCGTGCATCGCACGAGATCCGTATTAGTTAGGAGAAATATACAAATTACAAAATGCACTGCACATGTATCATCTTATACACTATCCGACAAAAGGGCATCTTAAAAACAAACACAAAAGCCACCCACCCCATTGGTGTATCATTAATCATTATATCACACATCTAATTAAGTAACAATAATAATAATCATTAAACTTCATAACCACGCTCGATCTTTTGCTAATTAGTTGAAGATACAGAAAACACCAGCTTCACTAATTAAGGTTTAGTACTTAATGGCGACCCATCAATTGATTAATTAGACGGTGATAGTCCGATAAGGGGATCCGATCATCTGTGCTCGGGTCGACCCGAGTAGCTTCCTCTCTTTGATTGCCGGATCTTCTAACATCAGGACTTTGTCCTTATCTCTAACACCCACCATATGCAAGTGTTCTTCATCTCCCCTTTCTTTGCCTTTGAACAATAGCCTTTGCTCTCTCGGCTCCAACTTTGTCAATGCTGACAACAGGACCTTCAATTCCCCTACAATAATAGCTTTAGAATTTGCAAAATCAAACAACGTGTTACGGTCTTGTTACGGAACCATCTCGTTGGAATTTGTAACTGTTAAATATAGTTGATCTAAGCCGACGAAATGGTTCCGTACTGGGGACTGTAGCATTTTTCAATAATAATAATAAATTTTGGTATTTGATAAATTTTATATAAAATAAAAATAAATAAAATATGGGAGTTTTAAAATTACCAAATGTTGAAGTAGGTTGGAGTGAGATGTCATGGCAGTGGGACACCGTTGAGACCCTAATTGTGATCATAATTTCATCCGAATTTTGGTCGGTTTCTCTTTTCTGGACGAGCATTCCGCCGGGCCTTAGCTCCCACTTTATCTCGCCACCGGCGGTGCCTCCGCGGGAACCGCCGCCTAGCTTCGAGCTGCTTCTTGAGAACCTCTTTGACCTCAGCTTAATCATTTTTGTTTTTATCTCTGCTTTTGTTGCCTCCTTTTTGGTCTCTACTTGTACTAAATAAATTCTTTCTCAAGTACTGGTATTGTTAAAGAGAGTAGCGTGAATTTGGCGGTTATATATAGGTAGCTGCTTGGAGATATTATTATTATTATTATGCGGGCAAATAAATAATAGTATATGTTAAATTGAAAAATACAAAGCCGACTTGGGTTGGGATGGGCGACTCTATCTTATTTTATTAGTTTATTATGATGAAAACTAGTGCATACCCCGTGCGATGCACGTGATACATATAATAAATCAATTATTTCTATAGCATTTGTACGTCTAGACAAAAAAATAATAGGCTTGGATCATTCATATTTCACATCTTTTAATAAGTGGTGTTTATTTAATCCAACAAATTAACATGTTAATTAATATATAATTCTGCTAACACGTCATACTAATATTTATTTGATTTTAGAATACATATTTATTCATTGATATAAGAAAAAATAAAAAAATTATTTATTCTTGTTCACCATATAATACTCAATTATAATTTTATTATAAAATTTATAGGCATATAATGTAATTATTATTATTTATAATGTCATTATTATTATTTATAAAAGTTATAGAAGTAGCCTTCTTTATGTAATGAAATTCAAAATAAAATTTTGAGTATAAATGTTTACAAAATACACAGACATGTTTTTTAGAATTCAGTTTTCTGATAATAATTTTGCTCTTTAGCTAAGAACTCTTATAAATGGCAGGTACTTTTTTTTTTAAAAAATGATTTAGCAATTGCCAAAAAATAAATCCCTTACATAATCAAGAGATTTTTCTAATTTTCATCCTAAGGCTTTATAGTTTATTTAACATACTATGCAATAGAAAAATATTTTACAATAAGTTCATTTTTGAAATATAACTAAAAAAAGTGATAAACTCATAGTTGACAATAATATACAAATAAATAACATGTCAAAATTTTAAAGAATAACTAATATAATTTTATTATCTAATCATTTAATCATTTAAAAAAATATTAGTTTTATATAATTAAATAAAAGTTAAAAAATATTACTCGACAAATATTAATTATAATGGATATCAGTAAAATCATTGCATAAATTATTTAAGGAAAAAATCTTTAAGATCATATCTGGATAGTAAATGTAAATATGCAAACATTTAATGCATATAGTAAAAAATTTCTAAATAAAGTATGCATTAAATGTGTGTTGACTTTTTTTACTACTATTTTTAGTAAATAAATTGGCTTTTAATATATATATATAGATATATAGATTGTGTTAATAATAAATAGAAATAATATTTATATTGATTTGGAGAGGCATGAGATTGTGATGAGTAGTGCCAATTGTGGTGATTTGCACATGGGGAGGCGGAGGGGTGGTTAGTTCACACGTTTTTCCCCCAATTAACGGGCCTGTTTCACTTAATTTGATAACATTAATTGCTTTGCATATATACATTTCCAATTCAAATATGATCAACAAGATTTTTTTTTAAAATAATTTTATTATCTTCTGTAATAATTTTACTGATATATATTATAATTCATATTTGTCGATAGTATTTTTTAATTTTTATTTGAGTATATAAAAAACAAATATTTTTTTAAATTAATATTTTATTTATCATTTAAGAGATAATGATCACATTATTAAATGATATTACTGATGGGTAGATAATAAATTAAAATACATTAATTATTCTTTAAAATTTTGGCACGTTATTTATTTGTATCTATACTTATTATATAAAGTATCATATTTACCAAATTTAGTAGATTGAAAAGTCAACGTAATTAATTCATTGTTATTTCTATTCAGAATTTTATTTAATTATTTTATTTATTTGTCTTATGTCTCATAAAATCAGTTTAAGAAAAAAAATCCATAACATATGACAAGTAAAAAAAACACGTAAAATCTTTACTAAAATAAAAAGAATTTATTTATTTGTCTTATTCCATATTAACATCGATTTTGTCAAAATAAATCCCATAAAATCAGTGAAGTCAAAATTTGTACGTAAAGTCCATCTATCCAAAAAAAAGTCAGATTCAAATTCCTTATCTAATTCTTTCTTTTTCTTATCTAATTCCTTCTTTTCCTTATCTAATTCCTTTTTATTATCTAATTGTATGAAAATCTGTTCTGATTTTGTTCAGTCCTTTAATTGTATTTGTACTATATTCCATAAAATCGGTTTAACAAAAAAAAACTCCCATAACATCCGATAAGTAAAAAAACAAAGTACGTAAAATCTTTACTAAAATAAAAAGGCTTTATTTATTATCTAATTTATTATCTAATTGTATGGAAATCTGTTCTGATTTTATGGTACGTACTACAAATTGTGCACCCGTGTTCAGGAGCTATTTAACGGGCAAGCTCTGTAGAAATGACTCATTTTGTGCTTCTGTCCCGTGCATACGTTATGTATATTTATTACACATACTAGAAAATTGTGCACCCCGTGCATCGCACGGGCTCTGTACTAATAAATGACCTTAAAATTGTGCACCCCGTGCATCACCCGTGTTCACATTTTGGCCTATTACAGGTCACGTACTATATATATCCCGCACATTTTATTTATTTATTTATATAATTATAAGAATGAATAAATGACCTTAAAATTGTGCACCCCGTACATCGCACGGGCTCTGTACTAGTAATACATGGAGTTTGAGCCCATTTTATGGGTGGCATTATTCATCACTTAAAGTTGTTTGATTGCACTTTTAGTAAGCTAGATACAAGTCTAATAATATTAATAAGTTGCTTGGTATGCCTATTTCTCTTGATATATACCTCTATCATCGTCTTCTGTCTTGCCCCTTTTTTTCCATTTTGACACTACATAGATAAAAAGATCTTGAGGCAGGCCAAGAAAATATATGGATGAAGAAAATGATTCCGACTGTGCAAATAAAACTTCGATTATTAATAATTGCCTTTTCGAAGAAGGAACCCTTAAAAAAAAATCTCTCTTTTTTTTTTCATCTTCTATCCTGCAGGTGGCCGTCTTCCCGGTGTTCATCTGCTGTGGCGAATCCTCAGTGATTCTTCATGTTAGGGTCGCTGCCCGTTTTCTTCCTTTTTAGGGCGATTTCGTCAAATTCCTCCGAATTTCTCCTCTTTTCCTGGTGTTGGATAGAGGGTTGGCTGCCGAGGCCAAACCGAGGTCTGGGTTTTCGAGCTTTAGGAGTGGGTTGGTTTGGTATTGTGTGTGGGTGGCTGAGGTGGGGGTCTTCGCACTAGGGCTGGGAATTTCGTTTGGATTTGGGTTAGAGACGTTGGCGTCGGACTTAGTTAGGCATTCGTTTGCAGTTTCTGGGTCGGACTCTGGGGCTGTGGCTCGATCTGTTTGGGTGGAGGTTCGTCAAGCGTTGTCGTTGTGTAGTTTGGTGTAGCGCGTCTGCAACGAGGAGGATTGTTTAGACGATGTTGCTAGTTTTGTTCCGTTGTAGTTGTTTTTGCTTGGTTGCTAGGTTTTGGGTGTTTTAGTTCGTTTTGGCAGTGTTTTCCCTCTTTTTCTCCCGTTGGGATTGTGTTTAGTATATTCTCCTGTTGGGAGCTTTTGGTTTCTTCTCCTGTTGGGAGTTTTGTGCGTGTTTGTTCTCCTTTTGGGAGTGTGTAGTTGTGTGTTGTATTGTAGATTGACTCTTGACTACAGTCGATTTGTTCGTTGTAAGTGTAGTCCTCCTTACTAGAGTCAATTACTCTGCTTATTCGGCCGTTGGCCGCTTATTCGGCTGAGTAGCTGATCGCTAGTCTCGACTTTGTTGTGAATATAAGATCTACCTATCGTTCTGGGGAAAAGAAGAAGAAGAAGAAAGAACACTTCAATTACAAACGAAGGAGAAAATTTTTGCGAATAAGTTATGGTTGTAATTCTTTAATTTGCTGACTGAGTTCAATTATTAGGGAGGCTAACATAAACTAAGGTTCCTCTTCATTAAGCTCGGCATTCACAATTAAAGTTGATTCTCTTGTATGTGTCTATTACATTTTTTTTTTCTCTTTATCTTTCAAATCAGGTATGATGGTTTAAAGAAATTTATATATTTTTGCGGTGTGGTTTTAGATCATTTTCATTTGTCACTCTTTTATTATACGCTCTGGCATATTTGTCCAGTGTTTAAGAAGTTTTCTTGAGTGGCGAACTCTTGACAGAGCCTGGAAGAAGAAAAATAGAAATTTGATCGTCTATTATATAGATCTTAATATAGATTTTATATCTCATGATTTGAAGTTGAAGGTCAATGAATCCTAGTCCAAACATCATGTAAAGTAGCAAATGTAGGAAGTTCTTTTATCAACTTTCCTTTAAGATTGAAGTTATCATTTATCATGAACCAACATTGTGAAAACGATATATGATTGTGTTCGGAGGTTGTCCCGTGGTTTTTTCCTCTACATTGGAGGTTTTTCACATTAAATCTTGGTGTCTTCTTTCTTGCATATTTTATTCACTTGGATATTCATAGTATGCTCTGTGGGTGCAGTTTAATCTGATCTTCCACATTAGAAAAAAGTTATTCCTGTTTTATGGCAAGAGATTTCGTTTGTCATTCTTGAGTTGTTGAGATTGGAATTATTGTTCACCATTTTACCTTAGTGGTTTAATTTACACTTCCGCATTTGTGCATCTGAGCCCAACAAGTGGTATTAGAGCTCAAGTTGGGCTCTGTATCGACCAGTGTAAATTAAATGGAGGAGAACGTGGGTACCATGGTGAAGCTCACAGCAACAAATTACTCCATTTGGAAGCAAAAAATAGAGGACATACTTTTCTACAAAGATCTATATGCTCCTGTAGAAAATGGAGACATCAAGCCAGATGATGTGAAGGATGACGATTGGAAAAAGTTACACAGGAAGGCTGTCAGTTTAATCAGACAGTGGGTGGATATCAACATATTCCACCATGTTGCCACAAAGCCAAAAGCCTATACTCTGTGGAACAAAATTGAACAA